ATATTGACAGATCTCTGAAACATCACTTCTACTTTCACTCATCTTTTTTATTAAAACATTTTACAAATATATATTTAACTTTTTACATATATACTTGTAATATAAAACATTTATTCCGATTTACGTAATTTTAAAAATATGGAAAATTAAGTTTCGATCCAATTTTTCAATTTAATCTTTCAAGAATTAGTCTTTTGGTTTGTTTTATTGTGAAAAAGGTTTATGCATTTAAAAATATATATGTATATAATGATAGATAAAATTTCGGCATATATATAAAATATAAAAACACCTGTGTATCTATTTTTAAAAGATTTTTAAAAATTTCCAAATACCTTTTAATAAAAAGATTATGTTTTATCGCTTTTTGTTACTACACAGCTGATTGATTGAAGTATTAAATATATAAATACACGTATATGAAATATCAATAGCTGTGAAAAGAATATCTATCATGAAAATAAGATTTTATCTATTAAATTTGAAATGTCGGTTTCACTTATCTCGTGTATTTATTAACTGTGCAATGTCTAAAATGGCGAAGTACTGGGTGATTGTTTCTCCTCTATTATAGGTTATACAATATAATTGTAATCGTTGGAAATAGTAACAAAGTAGTTCAATTTGGCAGGGTTATAAAAGAATATTATGATTACGTCGAAATAATTCACGTTAACATCAATTAATGCTCTAATAATAATAATAAAAAAACGTGGATAATGGCTGAAAATGTTGTTCACTGCGATGACGAATTTGTACATTCCATCAAAACATTACTCTGGGGTAATACTATCAAAAAAGATGTATTTAAACGATGGGCACAAGGTAAGTTTGTATTTTTATATATTTTTTTCATCGTAAAAGATTTCGTAATAAAGGATTATATATATATCAAAATAACCACAATTATTATCACTAAAAAATAAGTTTAATTAAGATTTGGTAAATACATTTCATATATACTTAATATTACATGTAAAAACAAGTATATAATATAATTATCAAGTATCTCATTTTCACATCAGTATATTTTAAATTGCTTTCATGGTTTTAATATTTCTGTTCACATTTCATTTTTTCTTTTTTATAAAAATTTGTTTACAAAATATTAAAAACCTTTAAATACAAATACTTATATGTTTACATATTTGTTTTTTTTTGCCTGGATCCTTTAAAGACCACGATTAAATTTTTTTAGGAAAAAAGAATTAAAAAGTTATATGTACCTCTGATTTGTAAAACGAACTGATTATATTTTGAACATTTTACCGATTCTTAAATATATAGATTCAATAAATTTTGAATAAACAATATTTAACAGACTTAATATTATACATACTCAGCATAAAATTATTTTGTTGTTAATGTTATAATATTGTCTTTTGGTAATTATCCAAATTGCTTCTTTTAATTTTAATAAACTTTTAATTTGATATTTTCAAATAACTTATAAATTACATTAATATATAAATTAAACATTAATTATTTATAACTATTAATATTAATAATGTTAATGTATAAATATAAAACATTTAAAGCCTATATAAAGATGCAAACTCATACAAATTAGAATTCAAACTTTGTATATAATTTAATACATAATTTTCATTGTTTTAGGATTTTACTTCAGCCCTGATGAGCCAACAGCATTGATACAAACAGAAGGTGGTCCTTGCGCAGTAATAGCTCCTGTCCAAGCTTTCATCTTGAAAGAATTACTTTCTGAGACTGATGTTTCGACATGGAAAAATATTAATTTGGATACATGTTATCAACTCCTTGTACGAGCTTCTATAGAGATTTTGAAGCAAGCAGCTGGAGAAAAAGTTCCAAAGTTTTGTATTGTATTTATGGATTGTAAATTTTCGAATGAGGATAACGGAAGAAAGGCCAAGTGGGTAGAGAAAATACCAGAGGTTGAAAACCGTGAAGAAGAAATAAGCGTGACAAATAACGAAAATCAGGAAACAAATAAAAAGATATTATTGATGGAAATGAATGAGGAATGCAGAACCATAGATTCTGATCTTTTTCATTCTCAATTGAGGTATGTGTTCTAATATATTATCAAATTCAAAGTTCATTCTGATTATTATTTTATTTATCTAGTAGAAGGGTAGGAACATGAAGTTGTTTTTTTTCTTGTTTTTTTATTTTAACAATGAATATTTCATTTTAGGTTATTTACAACAAATACCTCTGAACATGTGGAAGAATTTTTTTCAGAAAGGTTAGAGATGTTAAAAGATAGATACGGAATCTTATTGCTTCTTTATAGTGTAATTGTTACAAAGGGTGTTACTGAAATTCGTTCAGAAATGTCAGATCCCTCAGAATCAATGATTGATTCAACATATGGTTATGGAAATCAGAGTCTTATAAATTTGATGCTCACTGGAAGAGCAGTCAGCCATGTGTGGGATCATGATCAAGATGTTGGAGGATTGAGTAAGCTATTCTTATATTCTACATCATTGTAATATATTTAGTAAGTAATTAATATTGTCTAACAAGAAGCATCACTTGATTAATTTGCTCTAATTGTGATAAAACTGGATATCTTCTTAAAATATTTTTTTTTGTCATTATTGGTTCTACAATGTTGCTTCAGTCCATTAATGTGCCAACAATTTAAATCAATTTTTATTGTATTTCATGTTATAAATTGTTTGCAATATAAATATTTATAATATCAATTTTAGAATTGCGCGGGATAGATAAACAAAATTCTATCGGATTTCTTGCCCTTCTTGAACATCTATGTTACTGTGAAGTAGGAACTTTCTTGAAATCTCCCTCGTATCCTATTTGGGTGTTAGGTTCAGAAACTCATTTAACTGTACTATTTTCTACTGAAAAAAGACTTGTGAGTCCCGAAACACCTGCAGATCAAGCGAAAAGAGTTTTTAGAAAATTTGATCCTGAAGGAAATGACTTTATTCCTGCCAATTTACTACAAGATGTTCTTGCTGAACTTGGACTTGTTACAGATACAAATTGGTAAGTATGAGATATACATTTCACATTATATATATCGAATTGTTATATGTTTTTGTTAAAGTGTCAATATAGTGAAGAAAAAATTGGACACTGAAAATTTGGGAATTATTCTACGTACTAACTTTATGGACGAGTTCTTTCCTGAAGAACCACGAACATGTCCGGATACATTTCCATTGTATCACTACAATGGTCTCCAACATAGTAATCCAGAAAATAAAGTTATTTATCACAAAGGTCAAGCAGTGTTGTTGGAGTGCACTATTAAGGGTATTATGGAAAGTAATCCTATGTTAACAGTACTTCAAACAAAATGGCCCAGAATTGAGATTCAATGGGATATTGGTCAAAATCCGAGCCTGAACTAATAAATTCTACTGACATTTTATTTTCAATTATATCATTGAAGTTGTTGTACAAGAAAATAAGTAACAAAATCATTAAATAGTTTGAGGAGTACTTAAATTTGACAAAAGACATTTTTATGTTTGAGAATATTACAAACAAAAATCTTGAGAGAAAGAATTAAATTTAAATAAAGAAAATTTTTCTGAACATATGTTATGTTAAATTATAAATTATAATAATTCAATAATTTCACAAATTATTGAATAATAATTCAATAATTTCACAAGTTAGAAATCAAATTTATTCATTCTTTTAAAAATGAAGTGAGATTTAAGTATATTTTAAATATTGGTTTAGAAATAATATTCATTATATTACTAAAAACTTCAAGAGCAAACATGTAATTATTTGATGTTGAAATTAAAAAAACTAAAACGAATTTATTAATAAATAAAAGGAAGATGTGCAAATGGTAAAAAGAAACAATAACAATTGCACATGAAATGTAACAGAGAAAATAATAATAATAATGTAGTAAGAAAAAAATGTGAATATTCAGATAAAAAGTATAATAAAAAGTAGTGTAAAAAAAGAACAATTCAAAAAATAATGTACAAATCTATGTAAATCGTATCCATGGCTAAATGTATAGTTAGATCAAAGTTATAATCTAGTCATTGTATCAACATTCTAATAATATTTTGACTTTTTTGTCGTTCTTTTTCTTACATTTAATAAGGGAAACATGTAATAATTGTGTTGTCGATTTCGCTCAAATTTTGCAAAAAATCAGATATAATAACATTCTAAACGGATGGGGCACACTGTACAGAATGAAATGGAAAGAATATATTGGAATTTCTACATTCTATACAGGTATTTATAAATACAGTTGAGACCATAGATAGCGAATGACATTAACGAAAAAATAAATCAAGTTACATTTCAGAATTTAAATTTAACTCTTTATATAATTTGTTTTTTTTAGATACATTTTTATGGTCATATGTTTTCATTAACACAGACATTAATCTATATTATATTATTATAATTATATTTATTGTAATTAAAATAATTAAAATGAACTAATTTTTTTTTTAAACTGATATATTCCGAACATATAAAGCGAATAATAATATTAAAAATAAAAGAATAGCAAAAACGAAAATGTGTTTATATTTTATGAACATCTTATAGTGAAATACAAATATGACATATTAATTACAAGAATTGTTAATGTTATTATGAATCTCAAAACTGCTTTTTTTCAAACGGATATCTTTTAAAAAAATGTTTTAAAATTTTAAAATAGTGCGTTCTGTGTATTTAGGAAGTTATTATACTGGATATTTCCACTTTACTATCTAAAATATTGTCTCATTTCCAATTATTTATTTAATGTGCCATTGTGTTAGTATATACTTTCTAAAAACTTCAAAGTAGCGACATCTGGAGTATCAAAGAGAGAGTCAAGTGAATCGTTCTTTTGATATTCCAACCTTTACTTTTTTCTGTCTTTGACTTATTTACTTAAAAAATATAGCACTCCTGTGCGTTTCTTCTTTGCAGTATATATGTTTCATCTCATTTGTATATATAACATATGTATTACGCAGCTTTTATTCCTTATTAATTTCTACTTTTCTCTCCAAATATTTCATTTAATCATGTTATTATTACTTATGATTATAAATCCTTTTTTTCTTCATCTTACTCTTACTATCCTTTATTTATCATAAATGAACTTCTTAAACTTATTATTATTATTCTTTAAACTTATTGTTAATCTTACCATCATCCTTCAGTTTCAATAATATTTTTTTAAATATTTAAACACTTCAGCTATTAGATATTTTTATTTAAATTTTTAATGTACTTACCAAGTATATTTTGTTCCATGTATTTTATCTGCTGTCTGCACTTTTTTTCTTTCTTAAAATTCTTTTGAATTTATTTATCATTTTATCTATTTTTTATTTGCATTTTCTACTGACAATGAATTGTTGCTTTAATTCTCAAATCTCTTTCAGTATTTTCTATTTCCCATAATTAACTACTTTGGCATTCTTGCCAAATTTTCTAAATAGTCATCTTCTGAATCAGAACTTCTATTTTTCTCTCTCTGTTGATTTGCTTTTTAAATTGTACTTTAAAAATCATTGTTCCCTTTCTTTTATTTTGTTAAGATGTTTGTCTTTGTTGATTTTCTTTGTATCCATCACTATTTTCTTCTAAAATATATTTTATATTTCTTAATCTTTAGTTTTCTCTATCTCTCTTTATTATTTCAATTTTTCTTCATTATTTTTTTCTGTTTTTCCTTTGCTATGTATTTGCTATTATATAATATACATATATATTTGCTACTTTCATCTGTATCAACTTATACAAATCGTTCAATAAATAATATATTATTTAGATAATTATTTTATTCAATAGCTATTTTCCAGTAATGTCTGAGATAATAAAAACATAAAATAATTGGTATTTAATAATTTGATAAATAATTTATTATTATTATTACTATTATTATTATTATTATTACTATTATTATTATTGTTGTTGTTGTTGTTGTTATTATTACTATTATTATTATTATTATTATTATTATTATTATTATTATTATTATTATTACTACTAGCTATCATTTTTCAACATTTTTTTATAATAATTCATTGAAAATGTATTTGAAAATAAATTATACTACATCTGGCATAGTTAATAAAAATTTTATTTAAATTATCCGCCAGATATATCATTTTTACTTCTTCTGTGCAAGATGTCGTCCTTATCTGAAAGAGAATATCCGGCTGAAAGTTTCAATCTGTATTGTATGACGTGGCTTATAAAACAGCACAGTTTCAAGACTCCGTGCCTAGCGATGGAGATGTATTTTCGGTAAATACTGTTGTGCTCACAACGAAATGTGTTTTTGAAAGCGTGTGAAGAAAGTGTTGTGATTAATCTTATTTTAAGAACTTTCTATGATTGATATATATTCTGGTAAGTTACATTTTGTTATCCTTATTATATATTATATATACATTCTCCCTCTCTCTATATGTGTATATATATATAT